GAGGACTCCTCTGACTTCACCTTTTACCACCCTCCCTCTCACCGGTTCTTTGACTCCCGTGACGTCCGTTTCGAGGAGTCCACTCCGTACTACGTCAGGTACCCCAGTCGAGGTCTCCAGGTTCCTCCTCCCCCCCTCTTCCTGACTGCCGCTCCCCCTCCTGTTCCCCCGGTACAGCCTCCCCCCCCTGGTCCAGCCCCGTCGGGTGTGTCCCAGGCTACCCCTCCTCCTTCGGTAGCCTCTCCGGTACAGCCTCCCTCCCCACAGTCCTCCTCGCAGCGTGACGCAGGTGCTAGCTCTCGAGAGGTTGGTGCTGCGCCTGTTCCTGTACCGGTTTCTGGTTCTGGGGGTGGTGGAGTTGGAGCTGGAGTTGGAGCTGGAGTTGGAGCTGGAGTTGGCACTGGAGTTTCTGGTTCTGGGGGTGCTGGGGTTGGAGCTGGAGTTGGAGCTAGAGTTTCTGGTTCTGGAGTTGGAGCTGACCCAGTGGGTGCAGAGGACTCTTGTCGTTCGGGAGCTGGTGCTGGTCGCGCGGACACTAGGGGTGAGAGTGCGCCTCCTTCGGGTTCTGGTGAGCCTGGGTCTGGAGCTGGTGTTAGTGCTGCCTCTGGGGGTGGTGCGCCTGGTTCTTCGGGGGTGGACTCTGGAGCTACCGCTGCTTCGGACACTACTCCGCCCCCCCACCCCTACCCGACTAGGCACCAGGCTCGTGTTCGCCGTGCCCGTGACGAGCAGCTGGCGTTGGAGAGAGAGGAGAGGGAGTTACAGCGGCTGGAGGAGCAGCAGCAGCAGCTGGAGCCGCAGGAGCAGCAGCAGCAACAGCAGCAGCTGGACCCGCAGGAGCAGCAGTCCCAGCAGCAGCCGCTTCCGCAGCAGCAGCAGTCGCAGCAGCAGCAGCCACTTCCTCCTCCTGTCTCGGGTCTTCGGACCCTTGGTCTCCCCTCCCCTTCTCCTCCCTCCTCCGCCTCTCCTCCTGTCTACGGTCCCACGTTTCCTCCTCCTGACTCCTCCCCCGCTGTTTTCCCCAGTTCTCCGCCTTTGTCCTCTCCTCCTCCGTCTCGTTCTTGGGCTACTCGTCGCTCCCCTCGTGCTCGTCCCTCGTCTCCTGTTCCCTTCACTGACCTTCGTACTGCCTTCCTTCTTTCTAGTCCACCTCGTCCGTCTCAGTCTGTGCTTCCGTCTCCTCCTGAGTCGGCCCTCACTGTGTCGCTCCCTACTCCTGTCACTGACTACTACCGCACGTACCGTCCTGTTCTCTCTCGTGTTCTCGCCTCTCTTGTTACTCACCCTCGTGCCTCTGTGTCCTCTGTGTCCGCTCTTACTGCCGCAGTTACTGACTTTGCCTCTACCCGCCGCCTTGACTACGCCACCACGCTTGTGGCTGCTCCTCCTACCAGTCCTCTGGCCGTCGGGGGTGTGTCTGCCCTTGGCTGTGACGCCCTAGAGGACAGGCAGTTTGAGCTAGAGTTCCTGGCGGCCGCTTCCCCTCATCTCTGTGCCATGCTCCTCGCCCCTGAGGGTGACCCCGACGCCCTTGACATTCCGACTCCTCGCACTTACGCTGAGGCAGTGTCAGGGCCTTGGGCCTCTCAGTGGAGAGCTGCCATGGACGCAGAGATGGCCTCCTACAGATCCACAGGCACCTACGTCGATGAGGTTCCCCCCCCTGGGGCGAACGTAGTCGACGGCATGTGGATCTACAGGGTGAAGCGGCCACCGGGATTTCCCCCGGTCTTCAAGGCGCGCTACGTGGCTAGAGGCTTCAGTCAGCGCGAGGGAGTTGACTTCTTTCAGACCTTCGCACCTACCCCGAAGATGACCACTCTTCGGGTGTTACTACACGTAGCAGCACAGAGAGACTACGAGTTACACTCTCTCGACTTCTCCACTGCTTTCCTTCAGGGCAGCCTACACGAGGAGGTCTGGTTGCGTCGTCCCTCGGCCTTCACTGGCACCTTCCCTCCTGGGACCCAGTGGAGGCTGAGGCGACCTGTTTACGGTCTTCGCCAGGCCCCTCGTGAGTGGCACGACACTCTGCGTTCTACCCTCTCTGACCTTGGGTTCCAGCCGTCTTCTGCCGACCCGTCGCTGTTCGTTCGTCGTGGCTCCACACCGTTCTTTGTTCTGGTTTACGTCGACGACCTCGTTTTCGCCACTCCGGACAGGGTTGCTTTGGCAGACGTGAAGTCCGAACTGCAGAAGAGACACACGTGCACTGATCTTGGTGAGCTGCGCCACTACCTTGGCCTGCAGATCACCAGGGACAGAGCCGCTCGCACCATTACACTTTCACAGTCACACATGGTGCAGCAGGTCCTTCAGCGGTTCGGGCTTCAGCACTCCACCGTACAGCGCACACCTCTCGCTGTTGACCACAGACTCACTGGTCCCTTTCCTGACGAGCCGTTTGAGCCTAGTGGTCCCTACGCAGAGCTTGTGGGTTGCCTCATGTACCTGATGACTTGTACTCGCCCGGACCTCGCCTTCCCTCTCAGCATCCTTGCGCGCTTTGTTGCGCCAGGGAGACACCGTCCTGTTCACTGGACGGCAGCTGTGAGGGTGGCGAAGTACCTAGCGACTACATCAGGCGTGGGGCTAGTTCTTGGAGGGCAGCAGTCTGTCGTACTCACTGGTCACTGTGACTCCTCTTACGCTGACGACGCTGAGACTCACAGGTCTACTCAGGGGTACTGTTTCAGTCTGGGTTCTGGAGCTGTTTCCTGGCGTTCCACGCGCTCATCTTCTGTCTCGACCTCTACAGCTGAGGCTGAGATTTACGCTGGTGCCATGGCGGCACAAGAGTTGCGTTGGTTGACCTTCTTGCTCGCCGACCTTGGTGAGCGGCCGAGCTCTGCACCGACCTTGTTCACTGACAACAAGGCGTCGATCCTCCTCTTTCGTGAGCCGCGACTGGAGAGCAGAGTGAAGCACATTCACGTCAGGTACTTTCTTCTGCGAGAGTTGCAGAGACGTGGACAGGCTCGCTTCGAGTTTGTGGAGTCCGAGGCCAACACTGCAGACATCTTCACCAAGGCGCTTCCGCCTCGTGACCACCAGAGGTGTTGTGTGCAGTTAGGCCTTGTTGACACAAGTTCTAGTCATGTGTAGGCTTGAGTTTATTGCCTGCTTCGTCTGTACTCTTGCTATGTATACTTGTGATCTCTTGGACTGGCCTTGTGGCCACTGTTGCTTATGCTCAGAGAGTGTGGTGACGTTGTGATCCACCCTGAGCTTTGTTTTCTTTTGGACTGGTCTTGTGACCGTACTCTTTTTTTTATTTTGCTAGACACCCCTCACTTAGGCTATGGGGGTGTGTCAAATGTTGTAGCCTGTAGTGAGGTTTGTCTTAGGGGGTACAGAAGTTAGGGTTTGTTATATGTACCCCAACCAACATCAATGGCATCATCATTCCTCATTCTGACATGAATAACTCACATGTTGTAGTCGTAGCGTCGGTTTTCGCGGGCTTAGGGATGTTCAGGCCTGGATCGACGGTAACGTCGTCAGCACCGCCACCATCCAGTGCGTGCGGGTCCGCCGCTGCAGTGTCCTTATAGAAAAGGACCATCCACTCCCACCACGGGGGCTTGATGACAGTTGCCCCGCCCGACGCAGAGCCCCCCTTCGTCACCTGCTTCCACAAGGCCTTCAACCGTTTCCACTGGTTGGTGCACGCGGTAGCGTTGCGGCTCCAGTCGGGGTGCTGGAGCTTAATGTGCTCGCAGAGACGCAGCCAGTATTGGGAGCCTTGCTTCCCAGTCATGTGCTGCAGCTCGTCCTTCGTGAACCAACGAGCTGCAACTAGGATGGTCGACTCCTTCAGCGTCCATTCAATACGAGCGCCAGGCCCCGGGCTGCTGTTCACCTTAGCAGGGCTGCGCACTGCAGACTTTCCCTTCCGCTTCCCGTCAGAGCGCGAGGCAGCCGCAGATTGATCGTGATCGGCTTGAGCAGCTGTTGCATCATCCTGATCAGGGCCGTTGTATTCAGCGATGCCGTGCCAGGCGGCAATGGCATCGTCGCGATCGGAGCCGGCAGCATCGTCCTCATCGTCCGAATCCTTCTCAATGTATTTGTCGTCCGTGTCGTATTCACGGGGCAAGACTGTCGCTTGCTTCGGGGTTGAGCTCGCGGCTCCCACGCTACGTAACGGACGGGCGGTTGGTTTTCCGGCCGCGATTTCGGCATTCATCCATTTGACATAGGCTAGGTCCTCCACACTCCAACCTTCGTCATCTGCTGGGCGAACTGATCCTTTGCGTTTGCGTGCCATGGCTAGCTGCTGAAGATTGATGATAATGTCCCTAATCTATGTCACGGTTTTGTATGCTTTGACAGATCTATGCACTTCGATGTTGTTGTTGGTTCCTTGTTTGCTGTGGTTTGTGGAACGTGTCGAACGTGCTGGTGCACTAGATGGCTGTGTGGCGGGAATTGAGATAAATGTTGGGAATCGTGAAAAATGAGCACGTAAGCTTCCCGTTGCACATTCGCCACGTCACAGTCGTGCGCAGGTTAAAGTGACGGGCGTGACTCATGCTTTGACGCTTACGCGATTCTGTGGACGTGCACAGTGGGTTCCGCGTTGTTGAGCGACATGGTGCGATCGATTTCATTCGTGCGCATTCACGGTACAAGCCTGACAAGAGGCGATCTATAACGTGCGTACAACAAATATGCGAAGCTGATAAGAGGATGCCCTGACAAGGGGCCGTAGGAACATGCCCTAAGTCCACCAGATTGATAAAAATGTTTTACTACAAATAATTCTGCTTCATGGGTTTTGTTGGAACATTTGTCAGAATCACCTCGCCATACTTCATGTAGCCACAGCGTGAGTTTGACCTAACGCACCCCTCCAATTCCCGAGGTGAAGCTTTGCTGAGCATCTGCAACCACGACCAAGAATTCGAGTTGAACAAAGGTTCGGCACACATCACCGTTGAGGGAGTACCTCATTGAAGCCAGAGCAACAAGGCTAGAGCTGCTGACAAGCAGGAGCCATGGTTTTCTCGTCGACACCTCAGTATTCAGAGACACAGCAACAGCCCGCAATTGAGATTGATGATACCCTGAAGTGTATCAGTCACCTCCCACCGTGCTTCCGTTCGTTGTTTAGCTTCAGGTCCGTTTTTTAGACCAGCTACAAAGACACTTCTGCCAGCGATTATAATCTCAAGCGGTCTTCCTTTTTCTTTTTCCAGGTATTTCAATGCTGTTCAAAGCGAGGCTTTCGGGGAGGTGTACACGACAGACAACAATATCGTTGTATCAGCTCCAACAGGTGAGCAATTAAGTTCATTGCTAAAAAGTGAAGGAAATGTTTAACGCATGCATTTTCAGGTAGTGGCAAGACCGTGCTGTTCGAACTGGCTGTACTGCGGCTCCTAAGCAAGACGCTGACATCTGGCCATGAGTATATCCATTCTCCGGGACGGTACAAGATTGTAAGACATGCTTGCGATGCATTTTGCTTTTACTGACACGATAGGACGCTTATGTTGTCATTGACATGCAGATATATGTCGCTCCAATGAAGGCAAGCATGAGTTGTGCGTGAAAGTGCAATTTTTTGTTGAAACACAGATGCCAATTACTTCTCCTGCAGGCGTTGGTTCAAGAAAAACATAGGAGCTGGGAAAGCACCTTTGGAAAGCATTTGCATCTCAAGTGCTCTGAAGTCACTGGAGACACTGGTAGGAATTCATTTTAGGGCTTCTACGACTGTACGAATCTGAGCTGACGAGTACGAAACTGTGCAGACACGACGGTCAAGGATCTCCACAACGCTGATATCATCCTTACCACACCAGAGGTTTGATGGCGCTACCCTTGATTTTTTTTATCCTGATTTGCTTCTCATTTTAGTGATCTCTAACGGAGCAACTTGACACAGAAATTTGATTCGCTGACACGGAAGCATCGTGATAGAGGCGGCCTTACACTTTTCGGCGACATTGCTCTGCTCCTTATTGATGAAGTTCATCTCTTGAGCGATCCACGAGGAGCCGCTCTAGAGGCTATTGTCAGCAGACTGAAAATGCTCTCGCGATATCCAGAAATGTCAAATTCACCCATTTCCAGCATCCGATTCGTGGCTGTTTCTGCTACCATACCCAACCTGCATGACATTGGTACGCTTCTCGTGAAATTTAACGAAATCGCTATATCCTGGTCTAGTGCGTCTGCCGCTATTCTTCAGGAATGAGAAAAGATGATTAAGTCTATGAATACAAATCTGATACTGCAATCTCCCCGTGGTATGCAGCCGATTGGCTCCTTTCCAAAGGCAAAGGAACAAGAAGGTATGAACTATTTCCTTTCCAAACTTCCATACTTCTGCTGGTGTGTTCCTCATCCTCCTCATCTTAGATTTGGCGAAGAGATGAGGCCTGTCAAGCTGACTTCGACAGTGTATGGTATGTCACTACTTCTACCCTTGGGTAGGCCAAACCATCTGGTAGAATAAAAAAGCTCACTTTTCTTTTTATGTAACAGGTTATGCACCTGCCAAGAATGACTTTCTCTTCGAGAAGGTAAGGTTGTTTGACACCATTGTATGTTTGTACGTTTTTTTTTCAACTCCTTAACGCCATACTTAACACGGTCGCACTTTTCTTTTCCCACTTCCAGAGACTGCAATATTTTCTTCCAGGTCTGTTTCAGTGGGGAATAAGTCGGTGGAGCTAGCCTACCTGAGCCAAATGACCATAACAACTCCTTGTCTTGTTCTGCAGAGGTTATTAAACAGCACAATGATGGCAAGCCAGCGCTTGTGTTTTGCAGCACACGCAAGGGATCGCAGGATGCTGCGCAGCATCTTGCTACAGAGGTAATTTACGTCTTTGTTCGTGTTTCCACACAATAAAGGGTGCGTACTAAACACGAACTTGTTACATGTAGTTCTCGAAAAATGGGCCCTACAACAATCCTCTCGTGACAAACCAGCAGCAGTGTGATAGGCTTCAAGCAGCTTCATTATCGACCCAGGACAAGGTGTTGCAGTCTTGCATCCGTCATGGAGGTGGGGTTTGTGTTTTTTTTCGTGTATCAGCCTCCTGCTCTAGGGCTCTCACCACCGGCTGACTGTGTACGCAGTTGCATTCCACAATGGTGGTCTGGACCAGAAGAATCGAACACTTGTAGAAAGCCTTTTCCTGCGCGGAGACCTCCAGATTATATGCACAACAGCTACCTTGGCTGTTGGTGTGAACCTGCCAGCCCATCTTGTGGTGATTAAGTCAACTCAAATCTAGTAAGCACTTCTCTCATCCACACTTTTGGCAATTTTCCTCTTCAGGTTTATTGCTTGCTAAACATTTTTTTTCTCGTTTTTCTTTCTTTCAGCAACAAGGAAAAGGGAGGCTATGTGGAATATGATCGAGCATCCATTTTGCAGGTAACCAGGTCCACATTTTCCATTTTCCCGGTCTACGTAATGTCACCCAACCGTCTATATTGACTCGTGTGGTACTTGCTTCCCCACCAATCTGTTTGTGGCAAGATGTCGGGTCGAGCTGGAAGGCCACAGTTTGACAAAACAGGGAAAGTTGTCATCATGACTCGGCAAGAAACGGTATGGAAGCTACTCCGTAACACGAAGTGGAGTAGCTTTGGGGTTTCCAGGTTCACATATTTCTGTTATTGATGCCAATGTGGTGCTTGCCTGCAGGTTTACCTTTATGAAAACCTAATGTCAGGCTCTCAGCCAGTGGAATCGGAGTACGAAGTGAAGTCAAGGACGTGTTTTTCTTTTTTTCGTTCATAATATATCACTAACTCTCTCGATGTTGTGTTCTCTGTAGGCTGTTGAAGTCCATTATTGAACACCTGAATGCAGAGATTGTTCTTCTCACCGTATCTGACATGAGCCTTGCTATTGACTGGTATAGTTGTGATAGTTATCCCGTTTTGACTCATGTTGCTTTGATGTCGGTCCTTGTAGTGATCTCTTGTTTGCTTTCAGGTTGAAGAACTCTTTTCTTTATGTGCGGATTCAGAAGGTAAGCGGCCACATATTCCATGGGCTCCGGTGCCGGTCAAGAAAGTCGTCTTCATTTCCGCTCGTGGCATCTGCAGAATCCTTTGCATTATGGAATTCCGTCCAACTTGAGCGAAGATCAACTAAAAAGAAAGCTCAAAGGTGGGTTCGTCACAACAACATTGGAGGGACATGTATATCATTTTCATGAAAAATGGTAATCTTGAAGTTAATGTGTGTTCTGTCTGCTAGATATCTGTGTGCAGAGCATTAATGAGCTTGTCAAGTATGGGATGGTCACCACAGACGAGTACAATTATGTTCTTCAGCCCGCAGGTGTGTTTACAGATTTTATAATGGGAACTGATCTACGTACATTCTTCATTGGTGGATTGTTGAAGGGATTATTGTCCATGCAGAGCCAGGAAAGCTGATGGCTCAGTCCTATTTGAGTTTCGAGACCATGAAATCGATCAGCCAGACTCCTCCTGGTGCTAAAATGGAAGATGTTCTTGGAGTTCTATGCCGGTCGAAGGAACTCTCTTGTAAGGCATCCTTAATCCTGTCTGAATGTGGTCTGTTATACATTTTTTAGTGTAACCTCTGTCTTCTATGCAGGGATTAAACTTAGGCGGTCAGAGAAGAAGTTTTTGAATGACATCAATAATGAGTCCTCATCCAGGATTCGCTATCATGTCATGACACCTGGGGGGAAGGTTAAGCGCCGCATTCAGGATGACTATGAAAAGATATTCATTCTTATTAATGACACCCTCTCTGGTGACCCATCCAATCTGGACTTTACCATGTCACAGGTGGGTGCTTTCCTGTTAAATCTCCTTGCTGCTGAAGTATTGGCCTATACCTTCTCACTACATCATTTTTGCATTACGTCAGGATGTGAAAGGCATCTGTACTAATGGTAACCGCATAGCTACCTGCATGGGTCGCTATTTCATATTCTCAAAGAGGTACATGGAGTCTCTGTCTGCATTGTGCCTGGCGAAATGCTTGCGACACCACCTGTGGGACACGTCTCAGTTTCTCCTTAAACAACTCACTGGTGTCGGCCATGTCACAGCCAAAGTGAGTTTCGTGCCAAGCTCATTCTGTTCTCATGTGATGTTGCATTATGCAAGACCTCCTACTCTGCTGACTATGGCACAGGCATTGCTTGCAGCTGGAATCGACAGCTTTGAAAAGCTTCGACAAAGTGACCCTCGCAGGCTTGAGTCCCTTACTGGGCGCAAGTATCCCTTCGGGAACCAGATTAAAGAGGTCCTCGAGTCTCTTCCTCCCTCTGTGGACGTCACTATTGCTGAAGGAGAGAAGGGAAAGTATTCAGGAAAGCTTGAATTTCGGATCAGCTTGAAAAGAGCGTGCTTTCCCAAGACAACAGGGAAAAAGAACTTCGTGTATCTTGTAAGTGTTATTCGCAGTTGCACCTCTATGCCTGCACATTCTTTGAGCTGACACACTGCATATGTTCTACAGCTTGTAGGGAATGAGCAAAGCAACAGTCTTGTCTTCCACGAGAAAATCTGGTATGTGTAATGGAAGCACTACGAAGCTGTGTTATTGTGGACATCTCAATCATTCAGCAGTTTGATCTAACAAATGTATCCCCCTTTGCAGCCTGGAGACATTCGCCAGGTAACCACCATCATCACCATTTTTTATGCTTCAAAGCGCATACTTCATCGTCTATGCTAGTGCACGCACTGATTTACGCTCGTTACTGCAGTCCATACAACATTACTGTCAGCACGTCATTCACTGGGCCAGGTGCTACCCTTGTGGCCTCTGTTGTTCACGAAGACTTTGGTACGTCTCTGCAGCTGCTGAATGTGCATATATATTTGGTTTACGGTATATTTGTGATCAACGATGGTTTTTGTCTGAGCAGTGGGGATCGATATCCATACACGGTTTGAAATTGGGCCGCCTGTTCAAGATGGCAATGTTCATCGTACACCTGCTGCTGAGGCAGCCCGTGCTCCTGAATTGAAGGAAAGGCTTCAAGTGCGGACCCCAGCAGTGGAGGCTGAAGGAAAGAGTGGGGAGTTGCAGCAAGCTCACATACCGGAAGAACGTGATGACCAGGACTTCGAACCGTGAGCATATAAAATGCCGAGCTACATTGGTTCTAGCTGTGGTTGCTGATGGCAAAACTATCTGTGCAGGCCATCATTCTCCTTGCTTGAGGAAGAAGAGATCAGACCTCCGAGCAGTACGTGTTGACAGCCAGCATACATCACTTTGTTGTCAGCCTAAGTTGGCATGTTTATACTTTTGCAGGAGTCCTTTGCGACACTGGTGTTTTAAGTATTCCAGTGTTCAGGTCTTGCTTCTGTTACAGGTGGTCATTTTGAGCAAACTTCTGACTCTGGCAACGGCATGCTTGAAGAATCGAAAGAATGGAGTAACAGTGAGTCTTGCAGCATGATGTGATGTAAGGTTGTGGATTTTCTTCACACTAAATTGCCATGATTTTTTACAGATATCTGGAGCACTACTACTGAAGAGGGTGAAAAGCAACAGTTGGTAGGAGGCAACAAGCCAAAGCGCAAACCTTCAAAGTTTAGTGAGAATGAGGATGAGATGTTTAAGAGTGTCAGCAGGAAGGTGCAGAAGCTGTCTGCTGCTTCCAAGGGACCACTGACAGCACCTCACTGCCCTAGCTCCTCAGGAGCCTGCACACCTGTGCCTCGTGGCTGGCCAGCCTCTCGTCCAGCTCCGTTTCCTAGGGGCTCCATGTCTTCCTTGCTCTCTGCAAGGTCTGCTGGAAGCAGATCTACGTTTATCAATGGAGGAAGCAGGGACTCGCAGACATTAGGCCATCAGGAGACAAGAAGAGAGTCAGCATTCTCATCCCAACCAGGAACTGTTGCGAGCTGGGCTTCTGAGGCTAACCATGGAGGTGATGGCCCCCAGTGGGGATCCGTGCAACGGAGAAATTTGTTTGCTGGCTTATGTGCAAGCCAAGAAAAACAGGTGGTGTCCTCGCCGGTCATACACGGAAACTCCAATAACCCTGAAGGCACTTCTCCATTGAAGGAGTCTCCAATGGCCAACTGTATGAACAGTTTGTTTGAAGACCTTCTTGATCATCCACCCACAGCAGTCCCGACTGAAGAAACCCGCATCGCTGGAAGAACTCTTCAAGCTGAATCGCAGCCAATACTGTTCAAGCCTGACTTAAAGCGATTTGTGCGGGAGTTTGTCAAGCGACCTTTGACAAGCCGCAACGAGGTGTTGAGGAAGATCAGTCACTTTGAAAGGTGAGTGGGGGTCTAATTATTTGGACTCTTGTATGTTCTGTACTGCCTGATTCTGAATCAAACAGCTCTTTTGCGCTTGTATATCACTGCCATTCTGTGTTTTACCTCAATTCTGCAACCTTTTCCACTGAACTACGTTCTAATGTGGTGAGTGCAGGTCGAGTGACTGCTATGTTATCCCAGTTCAGAATCAGCATAAGGAGGAGGCACAGGATGATGCCTGCAATGGTAGTCTCTTCTCCTTTCTGTAATGCTCCATCGCTGTAACTAGCAATGCACACCGCACAGCATGCTATTCTCATGTACCGTATCCGTTTTACCGTGAAGGCTTTGTTGGAAACAATAAGTCCTAAGTGCGCTTCTGTCGTATCAAAATCCAAGGTACCAAGCGAAGCAGTCCCAATCGAAGCATCGAGTCAACCTCGGAGGTTAGGGTAACCGCCTGGAGGTTACGAGAAAGTCAAAGTTCGCTGACCTTTGACTCGACAATTACAGCGCGACAGTTAAGGACACACAACTGACTCGTTACAGAGCAGTTGCCCGAGTCGCGCTATATCGAACCGCAACAGCAATACAGTTATCTATCTATTCCCTGTACTCTTATATAAATCCTTGTATTTGCTTGTTTAATTCAATCAACTTTGCTCTCACACACCAGTGCAAGGTCGGTTCAAATTCTTCACTAAACGCTTCCGCTATTACCGTCACCCCCCGGATATACCCCCATGGGGGGCAATAATAAAACATGTTTTTTCAAGGGGGTGGGCTTATAATCGAGTAAAGTTATAAGCGCCGGCGTTTATAAAATGACATTCATATTTTTTATATTTTTTAACACCAAACTGTAGGTCTCGTGCTTGCCCTTTCAATCGAGTCGAATTTACATGGGGTCGTCTGTGAAATTCTCGCGCGCGCTGGGAGACACACCCAATCTGACTCACATCCAGCTCCTGACAGCTCCTGCTGACTGGACCCGCATCCAGTGCAGGGTCCGAATGTGAAGGGAACCGAATCTGCAACATATCTGCCTGCTAAAGTAAAAATCATTACAACGTTTTGTACACATTTCAAATTTTAAAGTTTACGTGCGCTTATAATAAAACTAGTTTTTTCAGGGGGTGCGCTTATAATCGAGGAGGGGATATAAGCGCCATATGCCAATTAGAAGCGCCAGGCGCTTATCCTAGGGTGGCGCTTATATCCGGGGGGTGACGGTACAACTACTTCACCTAGAGTTATCCCTTGCAAAGATCCTAAGGGGCTATCTCAGCCCAACATGGTATGAGAGCAGACAAGGGAAACTCTACTCTTTTTCAAGATCATTACAAGACATGGCAACAAACAAGGAAAGGAGCTCCCCTAATGGCTCCTCGGGCACTACTCCTACTCCACCGCCAGCCTCTGGCCTGCAGACAGAAGAAGGCACGGCAACAAGACCAAGAGGAACGTCAACCGAGACCCCCATGAACCACCCTTCGGACTTTGACCAGAACATGATGGAGAAATTTTTCTCCTTCATGTCCTTCTACGAACAACACCAGCAGTCGGGACCTGCACAAACACACAACAGCAACAACGGAGCGACACCCATGAGTCTTGATGGGTCGTCATATGCGCGAGGAAACCAGCAGCAGCAACCTACCTTTGCTCCGTACGAGCGCGGGTCAATCAGCTTCGTGCCACACCCGCAACCTTCACCTGGACAAGAAAGACCACTGGACGCACTTCAAGTTCAGTCGCAGTTTGCACACGTCTTAAAACTGCAAACGTCAAGACCCTTCGACGGCAAAGACTTCTTTACCTGGTCCTTTGAATTCGAGCTGATGATGGAGGGCGCGCAGATACTCGGCTTCTTCGACGGGTCCCTGCAGTATCCAGCCAACGGGACACAATATGAAAAGCAGCAGTATACGTATCAATCAATGATGGCGTATACAATCCTATTGAGGAACGTGACACCAACTCAGCAGCAGAACATTCGCTCTTACCGGACCTTCGGCAACTCGGCGGAGCTCGCGTACAGCCATCTGAAGAACCTGTATCAAGCAACAGACAGTGTAAACCAGAGCAGGTTAATGGCGCAGTTGACGACAGTCGAAATGAAACCAGGAGAAAAAGGACTGGCGTATATCAGCCGATGTCGCGAACTGCGCGACAAGCTGCTTCGATGCGGAGGGTCAATCTCTGAAGACGCCTTCGTGACAGTCATCATTGGTGGGCTTGGTCCTCAGTGGCGCGCCACCAAAGCCATTCTTCGAGCCCACGGAAGAATCTCTGAAGCTGCACTCTGCGCCGAAATACATGCCGAGCAGCAAGATATGGACCTGCAGGAAGAACGACACAGGAAGAAAACGACAGTATCAGAGTTCGCATTCCACACTCAACGACGACACAGCAATTATAACAACCGACAGCAGCAACCGAAGATAGTACCTCCCTTCTGCCACATCTGCAAGACTTCAGGGCACCCGCGCACACACTGCCCGAATCGTCAGCAATCAACGGCACCACAGCGACAACTTCGACCTTCAAGCTCCCAAATGGCTTCAACACAAGCAAGTGCGACGACCACTATTCAAGCTTCAACGACTTCACCCGGACAACCTGCACAAGGAGCAAGAAATATAATCAACTGCATGACGAAGATAACCGATTCGTGTACAACCGAATCACCACCACACTACTCACCGGAAGAAGAGCTTGACAACAGAACGCCTCGCCGTGAGCTACTCCAGCCGAATCCAACGTACGCCGCCATCGCTCAAAGTGAACCGTCCGGCCAAGACACCTGGTTCTTGGACAGTTGCTGCGGACAACACATGTGCTCGTCCGGGCGTTTCGTACAACGCGAACATCGACTCCAACGGGAAGTGATCATCACGGTTGCCAACAACCAAAACCTGCGCACACGAAGACAAGGAGTGGTACAGCTTCAGTCAAGAGAAACAAATGTCATACTGCACATGTCTAAGGTACTCATCGCTGAAGGACTCGGCTACAACTTACTGAGCGTTAGCCAGTTGATGGCGAAAGGAATTCATCTGGAAGCCGACAGCACGACCCAGGAGTTCAAACTTTACCACGGGAGAGGCGGTCTCTACATCGGGAAAGCAGTGCTGAAGAACAACGTCTTCGTCCTCGACTTCGTTCCTGACCCGGGCACTGCAGACAGCGACGCCATCGTGAATTTCACTGACTGGACACACCCTCCGGATCTCGACCCCGACTTCAGCCCAGGAGGCTTCTGGTACTCGCACACCACTCCTGAAGCAGAACGAACACGAGCATTAGCAACAATTCGACAATCGGCAGCAGCAGCAACAACATCGGCAGCAGTAACAACATCGGCAGCAGCAACAACATCAGCAGCAGTAACAACATCGGCAGCAGCAACAACATCAGCAGCAGTAACAACATCGGCAGCAGCAACAACATCGGCAGCAGCAACAACATCAGCAGCAGCAGGAACAACGACACCAGTCACAGTCGACGAAGCACCACCAACACCCGCGCAACAGCTGAATCCGACTCAACGTGAAGTCCACCGAAGCGCCAACCTCGTCGCCAGCTTTTACTCCAACTCCGACGCATATCAGCGTTCATCTGGACACCGCGCCTCTGAAGAGATCTGGCACGCACGAACAGGACATCCAAGCAACACGGTTTTGAATAACACGATAAGAGCAGGAGTCCTTGACAAAGATTCTCTACTTCTACCCGATGGCAGAGAACTCCAGAAGGCACGAGGGACTTGCCTTATATGTCCCGAAGCTGACTTACCTCATCGACCGTTTGCTTCACATCACAACCCGAGCGCTCCAGCGTACGCACCACTCGAAAAAGTCTACAGCGACATCCTCTACAATCGCGAACCAGGACAAGTCAACTACAACTACACCATCACCTTCATCGACGCCGCCACTCGATACGTCTGGCATCGCAACCTACCCAGCCGCGACATGGCGCTCGCAGCATTCGCCGCCTGGCTACCGATAGCAGAGAGAGAGTCTGGAACACAACTGAAAAATTTCCAGTCAGACGGAGGTGGCGAGTACACCTCTCACCGCTTCAAGCAGTTCTTGGCGGAAAGGGGGATCAAGCAACTCCTCTCCCTTCCCTACGCACATCAGCAGCAAGGTGTTGCAGAACGACTGAACAGGACCCTACAGAACAGCATGCGCAAACTGTTACGTGGCATGCGGCTACCCAACCACCAGTGGCCAGCAGCAATGGACCACGCTGTCATGCTACACAACTTGTTGTCGTCGTCGTCACTCCCGAACAACGCATCACCGCATCTGCTGTGGACAGGGAAGCAAGGCAGCACGAAAATGTTACGAGTTTTCGGGTGCATGGTACAGTACAGACCCCCAGAAGCACGAGCGGGAAGATTTTCGCAACGGGCACAGTGGGGACTACACCTCGGCATCGAGAAAAATTACAACGCATGGAGAATCTTCGACGTCCACACAAAGGAAACAGTAGCAGCACGTGACGCGATCTTCTACGAAAGACTCACCCTTCAGACGTACCTCGCCAACTTGCACGAGAATCGGGACCTCACCAGTGGTTTTCGTGGTGACCGAGCCTTCGCGTCAGCAGCGGATGAAGCAGACTGGGACGAGCAGAATGTTGACAACGCATCGGCAGAAGCCGGACCTCTCCCGTACTGCTCCGTCAACGTGCCCATGGACGAAGAAAATCCTCGCGACAGTAACAACGCCGAAGTCTTCTACCACTTCGCCGATACCGGTTACGTAACACCTGCAACCGTCAACACAAATGAAGCAGAAAGGATAGGACTGAATTTCATCCCTGATCCAGAAGCGGGAGACGAAGCAGCTTATCCCGAGGATCCAGAACTCCCTCGATACTCACAGACTGGGCTGCAAATCCTCGGCCTCGTCACCGCAGTCCACGGGAACACACGCAGCTCGCTTCCTAAGGAGCCTGCAACGGTTCAGCAGGCTCTGGGGGGGGGAACACAGGGAGAAATGGCGTGAAGCCATGGATAGAGAACTGAAGGCATTAGAGGAACGCAACACTTGGAAGGTTGTTCCCGTAAGCGTGGCACGGAACAAAACCATCCTTACCGGGAAATGGGTCTTCCGCATCAAGACGAAAGCAGACGGCACGATCGAAAAATTCAAAGCACGCTGGGTCGTACGTGGATTCGACCAAGAGCAAGGACGAGACTTCACCGAGACCTTTGCTCCAGTCAGCCGCCACACGTCACTCCGAATTCTCCTCG